CCCGCATTCCTCAGAATTGCCCGGAGCCCGCGGGGCGACGTCATCCCCGGCTCCGCCCCCGTCCCTCCCCGAGCAAAGTAACTCTTGACTAACAGGAGCAGCCTCCGCCGAGCATGGAGAGCTGCCGCCGCGGCCGGCCGGCGACGCGGGCGACGCTCTCGCCCCCGAGGTAGTTTGGCGGCCGCCAAGAAGGAAAAAGTGCCGGCGGGCGGCTGCCGACTCCGCGTCCGCGCCCCGCGGGCCGCCCGCGCCTCCGTCCTGGATTTCGCGGCGATCGCCCCGGTGGCTCTTCGCAAAGCTGCTTGAAACTTCTCCCAAACTCGACATGGATACGGCGGCGGCGGCGCTGCCCGCGGTCGCGGCGCTCCTGGTTCTCTCCCCATGGCCTCTCCTGGGGTCGGCCCAAGGCCAGTTCTCCGCAGGTGAGTGGCCGGGGGGCGGGGGGCCGTCCGGAGCCCAGACCAGTGCCGGGAGCCCGGGGCTCGAGAGGCGCAGGGCCAGTTCCTCGCCGGGGCCGGGACGAGGAGCTGGGGACGCTTTCGCGGCCCAGGGGGCAGGGGGTACGGGGGAGAGGGAGACCTGCTCCCAGAGTTTGTGCCAGGTGGCTCACGGTGCACCGGGCTGGGCGCCACTTGGCGCAGGTAACTTTAATCTTAGCGACCCATTGTTCCTCTCTGAAGCCCGCTCGGGGCACAGGCTGGCACGACTGTGCCGGAGTGTATAGAGACACTGCTTTTCTTGGGGGAACTGGTGGCCAGCTGGCCAGTGTCTAAGGCCAAGCCTGCCGTGGGTCAGTGGCGAAGAGAGACAGAAAAAGTAGTTAAGACTCTGGGGATGGCTACTCTATATACTCTGTTGCTTGTGGTGCGGGCTTGTTGCTGCCACTAGCGTTTAAAAAAATTCCCCAGGAAGCCATTATCAGAAATGTGGAGATTCGAAGGGACTGACCTCGGCGCGCCTTGCCAGGTGCTTTTTGTCCTGGGAATAACCTCCCTGGACTATTGTCTAACTACTTCCCGCTCCCTGCCCGCGTCCCCTCTCTCCTCCCCCACGGTTGGATTGCTTCTGGGCTTGTCCTGTGGGCTAGGGCGATGCCTGGAGTGCGTTCAGTGTGTGTGTGTTGGCGGAGCCTGGTAAGAAGATATTTTCAAATGTGGTTCTGGGGATCCACGCCGAGCCGTCCTGGGCAGTGAGGTTTGGCCGCCAGGTTGGGGAAGCCTCACCCGCGCGTAGGAGCGCGCGCCTCGGGCAAAGCCACGGAGAAGCTGACCCGCACCTCCCGGAGCCGGCCTGGGGTTGTGATGGGAGCTGTAAATGAATGACTGCCTTCCTCCCGGAGAACCCCAAGGAAGGGATGTGGTGTCTCGCCTTCGTCCCCTGGGTTCTAAGTAAAGGCACTCAGAGAAGTCCGAGCACCCAGCTCTGCCGGTCCGATCCTCTGTCCCCTTCCAGATTTGTTACCCTTCCTGTAGGTTGCTTGCTTCTTTCGATTTCTCCTCTGGGGGCTCTGAAGTTTCACCAGGTGGACACTGGGGAGCGGGCTCCCGGGCGCTCGGCTGCCTCCCGCCAGCCCTGACAACTTTTCTGACCAACCCACCCAGCTCAGCGTGGCGGGCGGGCGCATCTGCTGCCTTGCTCCGCGGTGCAGATGGAGACGCAGAGGTGGCCGAAGGCTGATGGAGAAGACGGGAAAGCTACAGCCGCCTTCCTGGCTGAGGCTGCAGAACTCACAGGAAGAACTTTGTACTTAACAGTTACTCTCGTTGTTGTGGCTACCCTGTTTCCTGGAAATAAACTCAAATTGCTGTTTTCCTGTAGAAATCGTTTGTTCTCCTTACACCTCCTCCCAGCCCCCCTTCCCCCAAAAGAACTCTGTAGAAGGAGTAAACAGATTCAGGTGGCAGCCCGTGTCCTATTCTCTGGCAGAGATTATGAAATGGCAACGTGTAGAGGAAGAGCCATGTGTATAGGTGATGTATGCAGAGGGCAACAGCTCTATGCGATGAATGATCTGATGGTTTAATTTAATTCTCTCTGGAGTAAGCATTACTGCATGCATCCCTGGTACGGAATGCCCGTTAGTATTGAAACCGTGCTTGGTGCAACTCATTATATGCAGGCAGGTTGGAGTGAGTATTGATTTGTTCACTCACACTGTTTGTCACTGCACGGAGAGCCTCCGCTTGAAAAGGCATGTACTTTGTTAATTGAAAGTTTGAACTCTACCAGTTGCATGATTAAACTTACATGTATTCGAGAGGTGCAACTGTTAATGTTCCAACAGCTGATGGATGTATTTTCGGCAGGAAAGAAACTTTTCTTTTTCCTCTTTTTGCTATTAACCCTTTAATGAACAAGTCCATTTTAATGTCCGGCAGCAGAATGTGCTGATGAGCTCCTCTGATGACAGATAAGAGATCTCAGAGGAACAATTCTGAGTAATTTTTAACTAAATAGGCCTGGCTTTTCCTCACTGACAAAGAGTAATAGTTGACATTATATTTAATTAATAGAGCATGCTTTCTGTTAAGTGTACTTCTCATAAGATAGTATCTCATATTTTGCCTTTTATGACATATACATATATATATTCATATATATATGTGTGTGTATATATATATATATATATCTGTCCCCAGAAATGAATGCCTTTCATTACCAGAGTTTAAAGTCAGGTACTATGGACCTGCTTTTCTCTAGAAACACAACTCAGTTTGTTTTGTAGATATTTTCTTTCTCTGGCTATTATAAATCACTTGATAGTCTATTGTCATCAACTTCTATGGCAGTTAGATTTGTTGCCACGACACAGAGTGGAGATATATTGGAGATTGGAAGTGTATTCTTGTTTTTTCTTCTTTTTCACTTTAAATTTTCAACTTTTATTTCTTTTGAGAAATTTAAACATGCTTTAAATGCCAAAAACACATTTATATTGAGACTTTAAAGAATACTGTGAAATATGTCATTTACATCATATTCTTTAAGGCCAATGAAATTTCTGATACTTTCATGTGGTTTTTAGTATTGTGAGCTTCAGAAACACATTTTGAAAGACTAAGGATTGTTGGGCTTTTAATATGTCATTTGCATATTGAGTTTGCTTTTGAATCACAAATTTAAGTGTCTTTTTATTATGACTTTTTTAGCTTTGGGGGTTAAAGTTTAAAACTACTGCATAGTGAGTCTCTTTCAAATCAGAACTTCCTATAAATTTCTTAGTATTTACATTCTAACAGTTTAATCTATCACTTAAAACAATACCTGTGATGTACCGAGGGAGACCGAGGCATAAAAGCTCAAAGAGGTACTAAAATTTATTCCCTGGATTGTATAGTTGTCCTTTCTTGATATCATAAGAAAGTTTTCTGTAGAAGGATTCAGATGAAGTGACTTGGAATGTCAACTTTCTCATCTGTAAAGTGGGGTTAATAATACCCATCCGGACCTTATCACATGGTTTTTATGAGGATCAAACGAGGTAATTTATGTGAACTGGCATTGTAAATTGTAAAGCAGCTATTTGGGGTATAATCATCATACATTAAAGTAGCCAAAGTACCTTAGTTTCAGTTATTTACTGCTCCAGAATTCTCTTCCTAGTGGTACGTGCTGTTCAGGATTTGTGTGTGTGTGTGTTCCTGGCCAGTCCTTCATTTTAATTGCTAAACATCCTAAATTGGCCAGGTAATGATTTTATAATATTATCAGCAACCCAATGAGAAAAATTATACTTAAAATAATTTTTTTAACACAACCTTTTGTAAATCCTTACTTAACTTAAACCTGTAGAAGAGTCAGTATTAACATTCCTAGCTAGTTTTGCAACTACAGAAAAATATATTTTTAGTCAGTTTCTTTAGCAGTTTGTTCAATTTATGGTTCAATGTTTTTATCTCAGGGTAGAGAATAATATGCAGCTTTTTAGATGCAGTCTTATCAATGACCTAGAGAGGGACTATTGTCTCTCTTGTATGATGTGAGCCTGGAAACACAGCTCAAGATGAGATGCTGCTTTGGATGCAGTTCCTGGCACGCCGCACTGTTAACACACATGCACTTGATCATTTAGGACCTTACTACTCCTCTGAGCGTTTCTACTTTCCTGATGTCTGACTCCTGGTTATCTCTGTATGTGAAATTAATTTTTTTTTATAATTACTGCTACCAAGATATACTGAAGCCAGCTTGCTTGTTTTAAGGTTTATCATTTAGTTTTCTGGTTTTGTTTGGCCAGTATCCCTCCGTTCCTTCATTCATTAAAACTCCATATCCTAACCGCCAGGAATGGTAATGACATGTAACTGGACATTTCCAGGACTGGTTTTCCCCTCACTCGTCCCTTTATAGCAAACTCTGCTGATTTTCCTAGATGGGGAGATTGTTTTGTATCTGGCCTACCCAGACGGGAAGAGGCAAGTCTGGCTGCTGTTTGGACATTGGCACATGTGCTGCTGACAGCTCTTTGTGTTCATAAATGTGAATTTGAAAAATAAATCAACCCCTCTGCCATTCTGCCCTCTCTCCCGTACTCCCACTTCTCTCTAGTAACAACAAAGCCCCACACACATATCCACAACATCACAGCCTTTTTGTGCTCACCAAGTATCTCTTGGGACCGTGCATCTCCTTAAACATTGGAAATATGACTCATCCGCTAGCCAGAGCTCATGCCAGTTTTCCCACCGAATCTTACATTTCTAGCAACGATGATTTGTTGCCTGTTTTAATGGAAGAATATTCGTGTGATTTCATGCAGAGAAGGTGTCCTGTTTGAAGCACAGTGTGCTGGTCTCCTCCTGGTGGAATCATGGACAATGTAAATCATGCTAAATGCGGATCTGAGCTGCTCCCATTTCCCCTCTTGGCTCTTCATGGAGAGCAGGAAGAGAGATGCTGAGGACTGAGAGCAGGAAACATCAAGAGAGTTTACAGATTGTTCTTTAAGACAAAACAAAGAACACAGGGATTCTGCATGTGTGTGTGTGTGTGTGTGTGTGTGTGTGTCTGTACTTGTGTGTGTGAGTGTTTGATCTCTTAATTTTCAGAAGAGGGAAAAGAGTTCTATTTTTGACTTGTTTATTGGAATTTGCCTTTGCCCAAACACATTCATTTCTTATTCTGTCAATGTAAAAATTTCCCTCTGTGTATTCCTCTCAGACTTCACCCTTTGATCATGTGTATCTGGTCTGTGTTCCTTTATCAAATGGTGTTTCTCTTTGCCTAAAAAGGTGGTAATTGCTTTTGAACATGACTTTTTTCTTTTTTTCTTTTATCAAAACTCATGCTGTTTGTCAGAGTACTGAAAAAGGGTACAAGACATAGCAAATTATGGTGTCTTAAAATGGTACTTGATAACAAAGCAAATGAATAAAACATCAATCAGGCTAATTTTTATTTCAATTGAAGCAAAAAGCAAACT